GTGACTGTGATTTCTAGTCTTGCTTTAACCATGAAAGCTGGCTGGGTGACTTTGGGCCAATTATCAGGAGGCTGTGAGTTCTAATCCTGTGTTAGGCATAACAAAGATGGGATATAAATAAATTGAGAGAAATCTGAATATGGCCTTCAGCTTCATGATCAAATTTGTATAGATACCCCAAATTTCAGCTACAGTAGAAAAATAAAATACAATTTAGCTTTAGATACCGTGCTGTATGATGCCAGCTACTCAACGAGTCCTTGGGGGAAGCTATCTGGCTCTCTGCTTTTGCTAGTGTGCCTTTGTGATTCAGTGTATTGTGGGAAATAACTAGGACAGTGATGGCTAACCTTTTTCTAAAGGCATGCCAAAATTGTGTAAATGAGCTGAGGGCTGCCGTGCCGGCAAATATGGCTCTGTGTACCACCTGTGGCATGCGTGCCATAGGTTCGCCATCACGGTACTAGGACCTTGTCAAGTTGTGTTTATACAATATATCAGGAGGGTTTCAGCTGAGGAAGAATCTGCAATGACCTTTCAGTGGTGCCAGACAAAAAAGGAATCCATCCATGCAAATGAGTGACAGATTTTGCCAAGAAGTGTGAAGTGGTACTGATGGGGAGTTTAGTTACTCCAATGGGTGCTGAAAGCTCTGCAAAGCTTCCTACTTTGTCTTCCTGGCAACATTCTCTTTCAAAAAGTGAAAGAAAAGTTTAGCAACCATATAGGCAGGTAGTCAAGAATACTAGAAAAAGTGCTAGGAAATAGAACTAAAAGAAGGAGCTGAGGATGCTAGAAATAATAAGAATCTTTTTAGATAAATACAGAATAAAAAAGAAGATACAGGTATTTCTCAACTTACGACCACAACTGAGCCCCAAATTTATGTTGCTAAATGAGAAATTTGTTAAGTGAGCTTTGCCCTATTTTACGTCTTTTCTTGCCACATTTGTTAAGTGAATCACTGCAGTTGTTACATTAGTAACATGGTTGTTAAGTGAATCAGATTTCCCCATTTGCTTGGCAGAAGTTTGCCAAAGGGGATCACGTGACTCTGGGACACTGCAACCATCATAAATATGGGTCAAGCATCCGAATATAAATGATATGACCACGGGGATGCTGCAACAGTCATGTGTGTGGAAAATGGTCATACAGGTAAGTCACTTTTTCCAATACTGTTGTAACTTTGAAGGGTCACTAAATGAACTGTTGTAAGTTGAGGACTACCTGTACAGTAAGTTAAGCAGCTGAGCAAAAATGGTAAAATGATAAGAGGTAACAAATAAAAAACAGACCTACTCAACTTCTATTTTGACTCTGTCTTCTCTAATTTGAGAAGCTGAAATGAAGGAGCAGGACTGAGATAAAGCAAGGCATTACAGATACTCCTCGACTTACAACCATAATTGAGCCCAGTTCAGTTCAGTACAGTTACTGTTGTAAGTCATGCTGGCCGTTAAGCAGGTCACCCCAGGACTGTGACAAATTTTTCCAATGGGTTGTGTTTGCTGGCAAAAACAATAAAGTATGGTGATGATATGGGCCAGTTGCCAAGTGTGACATATGACTGTGGAGGGTGGGGTGGATGCTGGAATTTTGAAACTGGGTTCTAAGTACCTTTTGAAGGGGTCCATTGTATCTTTGAAGAATTGCCAAGCTACCAGTTATAAGTTGAGGACTACCTGTAGTCTGCAGTATTTGGATCCAAAGCAGAAAACATGTTTCAGAGCAAGTGTTATTTGCTCTAACTGTGGGCAGCTCCTTGATTCTTTTACCTGGACTCCTTGTCACTAGCTTCCTAACTCAAACACATCTCCCAGCCCAGGAAAAGTTCTGGATACACCTGCATTGGATCCAATAGCACCTTTTCCACTCTGTAACCAAATATTACACACGTCTGGACAAGAATGCTTCTTTCCTTTGAATGAGTTTCAATCTCTAGAGCCAGATGAATAGCATTGTCAGCGGGTCACATGCTCGACCTCGTATTCCTCTCGGAGCAGTGGANGAGTCCAGCTATTAGTTTGACTTGAATCCTATTAGGTTACATGGAAGAGTAACCAGCAGAAAATGGGTGTTGCAGGATAGCTCATGAAGTTAAGGTGTTAGGAGCAAGTCACTTCCCTATTGTTGCCAAAAAGATTCATGAAAAGAGTCTTTGAAGTCACCAGGAGCAAAGAGCCTTTGAGACTGTAGTTTTATTACACCAGTGTAGGGCAATGTGAGACACACCTGAAGGTTACAAAAGGCCACTGTTGCTTGGAGGGCTGTGCTTTGAACACATCCACAGGGATCAGAGACTAGCTTGAGTCTGCAACAGCAGCTGAAGACTACGGTTAGATTTGGTGTTGAACTCAAATCTCAATGACTAATATTTTATCTAGAAGCACAGAAGCTGGAATTGGGACAAAACATTCCCTGTATATATGGCAATGATCTCGAGGAAGGTCATTGCCTAGAGGGGCAAGGAAGAGATGCTGTCTAAGGAACAATCAGATAAGAGGCTGCATAGCCCATCACTGCATAAAGTGCAGAGAAAGAAATCCAGAAAGGAACTTCCCTAGCTTCTCAGATTGCAGGAGATCTGTAATGTCAGACTTGCAAGATTCTGCTACAATAAAATAGAATAAACTCATCTGGTTATATCTCCTGTCTGGGAAAGTTGACATCAATCTTGCAAATCTGGAAATACAATTTTCCCCTGTCACTTTTACCGCCCGAGAAGGAGATTCCTTTCTTTTTCTCTGCCCGTTATGCAGCTGCGGGCTATGCCGCCTTTTATCTGATTCTTCCTTATGCAGCATCCCTTCCCACTCCCTCATCTCCCAACTTGTCTTCTGTACAAGTTGTCCTCGACTTACAACAGCTCATTTAATGAGCCATTCAAAGTTACAGCAGCACTGAAAAAAGTGAGTTACGATCACTTTTCACCATTATGACCTTTGCAGCTTTCCCAAGATGATGGGATCAAAATGCAGATGTTTGACAACTGGTTCATATTTATAATCATTGCTGTGTCCAAAGGGTATGGGTGGGTGAGTCAAGCTGCTTTCCTCCAACCTTTCCCCCACTCCTCCAGATCTGTCTGGGCAGGGAGAGGAAGTTCCCACCCTGAAAGATCTGGATGAGGAGGAGAAGGAGAGGGGTTAGGCAAATAAAATAAAATATACATGGCATTGCAAAGGGGTTCATGCATAACTTCTCACGTTTGTTATGTAAAATCTTGGGGGAAGATTTTCCAGGGGGTTAAATTGGCACTAATCAAGGAGAGAAGCAATCTAGAACTAAGGAGAAATTAGAACAATTAATCAATGCAATGACTTCCCTCCAGAAGTTGTTGGTGCTCCATCACTGGAGGTTTCCAAGAAGAGATTAGGCAGGAAGGCCATGTGGAAGGCAGGCAAGCATGGTAGGGCTCTGGGGAAGGGAGTAGGCTGCTAGCTCCCTTCCCCGCGGCCAGCCAGCCCCAACATGCTTGCCTACCTTCCATGCGGCCCTCCGCTTGCCTGCCTTTGCAAGCTGGCCACCGGGACACCGAGAAGGCTGTGTGGAAAGCAGGCAAGCATGGAAAGGCTGCCGGCCGCGTGGAAGGGAGTAGGGGATGCAGGCTGGGATGGTGGAAAGCAGAGACTAGGCAGGACGAGCGAGCGGTGATAGCTGGACCGGTTCAGGGGTGTGGCCAGCCAGTGTTCCCTACCAGTTCGGTGACCCAGGCCCAATGTTCGCTACTGGTTCTCCTGAACAAGTCCAAACCGGTAGGATTTCACCCCTGAAGCCAAGGTTGGACTTTGTTGAAGCAAAAATAGAAAGAATATCAACCCTTTTTGGTGTTTAAGACTCCTAACAGTACCATGAACAGCAACAATTCAAACTGGTGGATCATAAAAGAAATCAATCCAGCGTTTTCATTTGGGGCACAAAAGACAGGTTCAAGTTATCCTACTTCAGACACATTATGTGAAGATCTCACTCCCTGGAGACGACTCCAATGCCGGGAAAGAAAGAGAAGATGGTGACCAGCAACAAGATAGATCGCTCCAGTTAAGAGTAGCAATGAGAGCTGAAGACTCAGTAAGGACAGATCTTCATGGAGAAAATCTCAATGGTCACTAAGAGTCAACAATGACTTGATGGCACATAATCATTACAGCTAGTCCTCAACTTACAACCATCCATTTAGTGACCGTTCAAAGTTACAACTGACTCGTGGCCATTTTTCACATGACTGTTGCAGCATTCCCCATGGTCACGTGATCAAAATTCAGACCCTTGGCATCTGGCATGTCACCAGATTCACTTAACAACCATGTAACTGATTTAACAACTGCAGTGATTCACTTAACAACTAGGGCAGTGTTGGTGAACCTTACGCGCAGGAGCACCAGAAACCGGAAGAGCATTTCCCCGGCGTGAGCTGAGCTTCCAATTTCCAGCATGTGCCCCCAGTCACCTGGTCTTCCAGGTTTTGGCATGCATGTATGTGTGAAGACCAGCTGGCCAGCCCTGGAAACCAGAAGGCCAACAGGCAATGGCTGGCATGCCTGGAGATACAGCTCTGTATCTCTGCCACTTTGGGCACATGTGCTATAAGCTCACCATCATGGAACAAGGGCAAGAAGGGTTGTAAAATGGGCAAAATTCACTTAACAACTGTCTTGCTTAGCAATGGAAATCTTGGGGTCATTAAATCAAGGCCTACCAGTATGTGGCAACATTATATCTTAGTCTTCCAGGTGTCACAAGATGCTCTTATTACAGCAAAGTTGCTTTCCTTGTTCACATTCTCTCCCATGCATATGAACAACCTTTATAGAAAGGGAATTGTAAAATGAAAAAACAAAACAAAAAGGAAAGTGGTTGTTTGATCCAAAGCCAAAAATGGGCCAGCCTGTAAAAATAGAAGCTGATACAGCACCAAGGAACTATCTTGTGTGTATGTCTGCATTACATCTACAGACAGGTATGTGAACAGAGACAGAAAATTTATTTAGTGATTGTATTTTGTAAAATCCCATCTTCCTTTATTCCTCATTGCTTGTAGCATATAATTGTAAACATCTTTTGGTAGGGTTGGTAGGTGGGTGGGAACTGCCATCGGGCCCTCTCCAAAAGTTCTTAACAACACTGTTACATGGAAAAATTAAAAAGATTAGGAATCTCTCCAAAGGAGATTTTAAACATGTTTGTCCAGCATTCCCTTTCTGTACGAAAGAACCATTCTTCCCTTAATAGAAGAACATAGTTTAATCTCATGAATCTGGCCTGGAGTGAATGTGGCTGCGTGTATATACATATACACATATATACACACACACACATAGCAACCACAAATTTTGTCTTGTTTTACAAAAGAAGAGATGAAACAAAACTTAATATCTATATATATCTATATCTCTATATATCTATGTGTGTGTAAGTATTTGTATAGATTTCATATTCAGAAGGGACACAAATGAGGTCTCGTGTTTTATCATTTCTGTACACATGGCACTGCGCTGGGCAGTGCTAGGAGGAAACAGATGCAGTCACTTGCCTTTTTTAACTAAAAACAAGAGAGAATAATATAACTGTAACAATTAAAACTAAGGACTCCTAGCTTTGCCATCAGATGTAAAGTCCCCTTCGGCCAAGTGTGGAAATAAAATGAGTAAGCAACCCGTTTGATTTAATTTGGCGTTCTATAGACAAAAGAGTCTTGATGTTTACTGATCTCAAAAAGAAGGATTTTCCATTCAGGGTGTCCAAGACTTCGAGGCTTCCTCAAGGGGGGCATGTAAAGTCATAGTGGTAGGAATGAGCCCAGAAAACCTGGATATCACATCCACTTTTGTAGCTGGCTTGCCTGTCCCTTAATCGTAACCACAGTCAATGGATGAATTGGGAAAGGGTTAAACTGTGTGCAGGCATCTGCTGAAAAAAACTGTGTGACCGAGTCTAGGCACTGAGATCTGCCTAAGGAGCTCCTGGGTCATCCATATCCAAGTCCCATCCAAATGCCCCATAGGACAGTGGTTTGCAGACCTGATGGTCTCTGATTTAATTGCCCTTTGGATGGAGAGTTCACCAATAAGCCAAACCCTAAGATACAGGTGTAGAGAGAACGTACGTGCACATGTATGTGTTAGTGTGTGCAATACATCGTCCAACGTGCTACAGAGCCCTTGTGCCTTCCAGGTATCTACGATGCCCAGTTCAACATCTTGGCTGCTGTCCTGTTCTGGGTGAGGGGCAGGCCATGCCCACCCAGGAACTCTCCTTTGTACACCCAGAACCATGTACACCCAGAACTGCAGGTGGAAAGTGCTCACTGCAGACCTTTCCCTTGTTCCAAACATCTGTTGTTGGATTATTTGTTTGCCTGGTTTGGGAGGATAGGGGGTCTGGGTTGAAAAACCAGGGTGGCCCTACCATCTCAATGGCAGGATCTTGGAGAAGAGCACAGCGCCCTGCTGTGGATTTTACAAGGTGCCATGCTGAGATTCATATTTAGAGAGAATGCTGTGGAAGCGGGTTAGTTCCTGGCGGATATTGGCCACTTCCTGGCGAAGGACCGCGTTCTCCTTCTCCAAAAAAGCTGCCCGAACGGTGATTTGATTCTCTTTCAGGCGTCGAGCATCTCTTGAGCGTTTTGCTGCCTCATTGTTCTTGTACCGCCTGTTCCAATATTTTTCATCCTGGTGCAACATGGGGGGAAAAAAAGGGGGGGGGGACAGACAAAGAAGAAAAAAGTGACATGCCAAAGAAACTATCACATAAGTATTATGCACTAGATAATTTTGACAACTTCCCACAAGGCTCTGCATCACTTAAATGTTTCTATGCAAAATACAAATACACTGCTTTACTTTTATGAGCCAAACAACACTAGGAAAAGCGACTGAAGGTGCCGAATCTTGTGCCAGCTTCATGGGCCTAAGGCAGAAGGTTTTAAATTATCTAGTGCATAATACTTATGTGATAGTTTCTTTGGCATGTCACTTTTTTCTTCTTTGTCTGTCCCCCCCCCCTTTTTTTCCCCCCATGTTGCACCAGGATGAAAAATATTGGAACAGGCGGTACAAGAACAATGAGGCAGCAAAACGCTCAAGAGATGCTCGACGCCTGAAAGAGAATCAAATCACCGT